TCTAGAATTATGTTCTTCCCCCCTACCCCACAAAACCAAAATTAAACAGCCCCCCCCCCCGCTTCACTTCCCCTCCTCTCACCACTCTCTCTTACGTCTCCCCGCCAACCCCCAGACTGCTTTTTTTTTTCAAGTTTTTCTGATATCTGATCGTGTATTAATTCAATAAATGTTATTTCCCAATCCAGGAATTCTTCCCGATCGGCCTTCTACCTTCAGTGAGGGTTTTTTTTCTGATAACAGTAAAATGAGTACTGAGTTTTTCTCTCCGACACACCCCCACCAAACTGGAGGGGGGGGAATGGGTTGAGACAGGAGGGTACGACTTCAGGGCAGCGAATATTTCTGGGGGTCCTTTTCTTACAACCACCCGTGTAGAACGGGAGGACACGATACCCAGTAATCACAGAAACCATGGCGAAAGTTTTGTGTTGTAAAGAGCATGTGATGCCCAAAAAAACACCTTGGGGATGCTCTGAACCAAATGGTCTCATTTGACAAAAGAGAAATAAGGTCACGCACTATTGCAGTCATGCAAAAGAAAATTGATTGTGGCTGGAGAAGGTAAGGGTGGGTGGATAGAAAAGTGGTGGGGGAGAGAAAGGAAGGAGGAGAGACAAGGGAATCAAGAGAGTGAAGGGAAGGAGGAGAGAGAAGGGAAGGAGAGATGGAAAGGAGGAGAGAAGGGAAGGAGAGAAGGGAAGGAAGAGAGAGAAGGGAAGGAGAGAAGGGAAGGAAGAGAGAGAAGGGAAGGAGAGAAGGGAAGGAGAGAAGGGAAGGAGAGAAGGGAAGGAGAGAAGGGAAGGAGGAGGCTCACGTTGATCAGGAAGGTTTTGCTGTTCAGCAGGTTGGAGAACTGGTTCAGGGCCTGAGCCACGATGGCCTTGCGGGCTTCTGGGATTTGGATTTTCCCCGTGATCATGGCGTCGTTGGCGCCGTCTTTGGAGGGCAGGAAGAAGTTGCGATCCGTGTAGGTCTTGTAGTCCAGGAAGGGGATCCGGGCCTCGCTCAGCTCGCTGGTGTGGTCCTCCATTTCGATCATCAGATCTGAGATCAAGAGAAATCCGCTGGTGACTTTGTACAAACTGTTACACAGAACAGACCTGCAAAAATAAAGCCTTGAAAACAAGTAAATGTTCCTGATGCAGACAATGAGTGAGGCGCTTCTCGGGTGCGCTTGATTTCGTACCTGTGAACTCTTTCTTGCAGCGATCTCGAACACTTTCCTCCAGATTCGCCAGCTGGTTTTTCACCTTCCCGTATTCCCGCTCTGCCTGCTGACTCTTCCTCCTGTACACACACACACACACACACAGGTCATAAAACCCATCGACACGGGCAAGCCAGCGTGTGTGTGTGTGTGTGTGTGTGCGTGTCTGACCTGTAGCAGTACACGGACACGGCGATGAAGAGCAGCATCGGGATGATCACCGAGGGGATGATGGTGGCCAGAGGGATGTCGTCCTTTCTGGCGTAGGAAACCGAATCCACCGTCCACTCGCCGTGACCGAACTTCACCTGGAGACAGACGGACGGTTAAATCACATCAGACATGTTGAGATTAAAAAGGACACGTTTGTTTGGTGAAACAGAAGAACTTTCTGCCTCTTCAGGAGGTTTTTATTCACCACGAGCTCCAGCATGTTGTCCGCTGTGTCTCGGCGCTGCCGTCTGGACCCGGGCTGCGACTGCGGAGCGTCCAGGATCAGCTTATCGTCCTGTAGACCGGGGGGGGCATAATGTAAAAGGTGCGTTGCATTTGCTCCCCGGTTGGTGGCGTCGCTTAGCACACGTTAGCTTAGCTGACGTGTTAGCTGACATGCTTTGTATTACATTATAATATAATTACACATATTACATTTAGTGTGTTTGGGTCTGGAAACCTTTTAAAAACAAATTATTTGGATTTTTTTCTCTCACGTTTTCAACCCCAGGCAACTGAGGAGGATGAATATAATAATATATAATATAAGCTAAACTATATCTTTATAGTCAGAAACAATGATTAAAGTCTGTTTGGAGGAAGCGACTGTGACCTGCAGGATGTTGACGGGACACGAGGCGTCTCCCACGAAGGCCTGCGCCTCTTTGGCCGTCATGGCTTTGGCGAATCCTCGCCCCTGAAACAAAGAAGAAGAGAGTGACCTCGACTGACCCGTGGAGGGGGGGGGGGGGGGGGTTGGGGGGATGGGGGGATTGGGGGGGGCCGGGGTGCTTCCTCACTGTGACGATGATGACGCCGGTCTCGGTGATGACGTTCTTGTCCAGCTTGTTGAAGGACGGGTCCGGGTGGTAGACAAAGTTCTTCAGCTCCACCTTCTCGTTGTCCAGGTGCAGGAAGGTCCTCAGCGCCTGGGGGTCCACGCCGGCGCCCGCCGTGGGGGAGAGGAACTGCAGGACGGTTTCGTTCTTACTCAGGGCCTCCTGGACAAACTGACCCAGGGAGGAAGAGGAAGAGGAAGAGGGGGTTAACTTTATACCTGGTCACATCTTATTCATATTTAGCTGAAGCTCTCGTAATAATCCAAGAGGTCGACAGCCAAGCAACAAAGCCAATAAAAGCGGAGGCTACGTGTTGAGCGGCTGGCCGTGGTCTCTTACCTCCACAGGTGAGGCGCTGTGGGAGAACTCGTTGGCGAGGGGCACGACCTTCAGGCTCGCTCTCTGGGTGAGATCGAAGCCGCTCCCCACCACCATGATCCTGCGCCCGCCGCTGCACACGGAGCATTAAAGCACATCGGCCTTCAGCGAGTCTCCAATTCATTTGTCATCGGATTTTTACTCATAAGCCCCTTTTTCATTTCCCCGGTTTGTTTACACCCCCCACACTCACCACAGGAAGCTGTCCTTGGGCAGGAAGTTGGTGACCTTGGGGTCTTCCAAGTACTGGAACGCGGCCCCCACCTCCTTGGTGGTGTTCTTGCCGTAGAGCACCGTCACCGGCAGCAGCTCGGAGGGAACCTTCGTCCCGCGGAACCTCCCCGTCCTGCAGGTGATCTGCTCGCCGAATGCCACGCTGGGGGAGGAGGGGGGGAGACTTTTAGCGTCGTGCCCGTCTGTGAGGCGGCGTGTCATCGTGATGGAGTTTCACGCTTACATTTCGCAGGGGACCCCCCCCACGGCGACGGAGACGTCGTCCCTGGTGCCGGTGTCCAGGTTTTCCCCCTGGACGGTGATCAGCGTGCCGCCGCCGGCCGGACCCCTCGATGGGACGACTGCCAGCGGCTTGGGGTCCTGGACAGAGACAGTTTGTCCACTTAAGACTTTGCTGGTATTGACTTTATGTTATAAATGATTCTTAGAAGTTACATTTACACAAGTGCAGGTATTTGTATTTGATTTTTCCTGTATTAGTTGTTTCACGTTGTACTTTATAATGTATGTATTTGATAAACGGCATCTTTAAAATATTACAAAATATATTTCACTCATCAATTGAAATATTATAGATTATCCAGCGACGTATATGAAGTAAATAAAATGAGCTTCACCAGCTGCAACTAAAAAGTTTAGAACCCAACAAAATAATGTAATAAGTACTTTTACAACTGGTACTTCAGGTAAACGGTGTCCAACATTTATTCTGCTTTGCTCCTAATTCCTTTTATTCTTTTACATGTTTTGTTATTGTTGAGGTTTATTACTCAGTGGTAATTTATTCTCCTACGAAGTCTTTATAAAAAACAGATTCATAGACTTTTCAACCCGTTTGGCTTCACACGTACCCGATAGGTGAAGATCACCTGAGACGTCCCCTTCCGTCCCCCCTCCAGCTCCACCTCCACCGCTCCACGCATGGGGACGTCCATGCGACTCGCCGGCCCGATCTCGCACACCACGCTGCGCCATAGAGGACAGGTTAGAGGCGCCGGTACTGCTGCCGGTGAGTTAGAGGCGCCGGTACTGCTGCCGGTGAGTTAGAGGCGCCGGTACTGCTGCCGGTTAGAGGCGCCGGTACTGGTGCCGGTTAGAGGCGCCGATACTGGTGCCGGTTAGAGGCGCCGGTACTGGTGCCGGTTAGAGGCGCCGGTACTAGTGCCGGTTAGAGGCGCCGGTACTAGTGCCGGTTAGAGGCGCCGGTACTGCTTCCGGTTAGAGGCGCCGGTACTGCTGCCGGTTAGAGGCGCCGGTACTGGTGCCGGTTAGAGGCGCCGGTACTGGTGCCGGTTAGAGGCGCCGGTACTGGTGCCGGTTAGAGGCGCCGGTTAGAGGCGCCGGTACTACTTCCGGTTAGAGGCGCCGGTACTAGTGCCGGTTAGAGGCGCCGGTACTACTTCCGGTTAGAGGCGCCGGTACTACTTCCGGTTAGAGGCGCCGGTACTGGTGCCGGTTAGAGGCGCCGGTACTACTTCCGGTTAGAGGCGCCGGTACTACTTCCGGTTAGAGGCGCCGGTACTAGTGCCGGTTAGAGGCGCCGGTACTGGTGCCGGTTAGAGGCGCCGGTACTACTTCCGGTTAGAGGTGCCAGGTACTAGTACTGCAGTATCACACGCTCTGCTCCTCCACTGGATCTCAGAGGTACACATTGTACTTTATACTACACCGGTATGAGTATGCGTGAAGGAGTATCTCAGCACCTGGTGGAGACGGAGTACCGGTCCGCCTGGTGGACACATTCCACGCCGGCCACGGTGATCTTCTTGACGTCTTCCCTCTTGATGCCCATGTTGGAGCCTTTGATGGTGACGGAGATCTGACCGTTCGGGGGCCCGAAGCGAGGGACGATCTGGAGACGCAGAATGTGTTTCATCGTAAACATTCCCTCCCGTTGGTTGAGCGTCTCTCTCTTCATGGTGAACAGACCCTGCAGTGCTTTACCTTCTCACCTGGCTGCAGGGAGGCCCAGGTATCACTTCACCGCTGACCTCGACCAATCACAGCAGCCTGCTGTCCCACATTTAGCCACTTGACTCTAATCGTCCATCCCATTAAAATATCTCAACATGGTCTTATTTCTGCCCTCAACTGTACGGCCTGATTTTAGAAAACTACATATTTAAAACACATTATTTACCACATTCTGCCTCCTTGTATCGCATTAAAATCTACTAGACGTGACTAGAATCAGAGGCCGTCTTAGATTGAGACATGTGGGGTGTTTTAGGAGCTTTGTGTGGGCAGCGCGTGTCTCACGTCGAGGTTCTACTGCACTGAGCTCTGCTCGACCAAAACGAGGTTCAGAGGGAAACTCAGAAGAACTTCAACGTTTAAACATTATCCTGATCATCTGTAACGTGCACGCAGCTAAAGTCGCATCACGGCTCCATTTACTGTGATCAAAATACTTAAACGCATCCTCTGATGAATAACCAAACATCTACAAACATACTGCAGCGTCTAACGGCAAAAGAAATGTCCCACTGAGCAGGAGAGTGGTGACTGATTGAGGATTTTTCCTTTTTGTCAAAGAAGCCGCACGGATTCTCCAAAAATGTGATTAAACGAAGACAAATCGTCAGACTGAATGAGGAGAAGAAACGAGGGAACTAATGGAGGCGATTACCCGAGCAGATGGAGGGATTACGTGTCCCTTCTTCTAAAGGTAGAGGCGCTGCGTGTTATTGTGTCAGTCGATGTGCATTTCACAGGAGATTAAATATATTTAGAGGCCTTAAAGGAAATAAAACCATAATCTATGTTTAGAGTGGCAGCAGTAATTAGAATTTATACCTGCATTCATCATAAGAAATGGGACTAAGAGTGTTTGTGACAATAAAGGTAAATTACTCTTTAGTAAATATGATATGAGGTTTCTCCTATAAACTTCTACCACAAAGATGGTGAAAGGCCTGATGGGAATATGAATATCCCAAGCTAAGGCTACAGAAGCTCGTCGCGCTCTTCCTGCCTGCTCTTCCTCCCTGGAGGAGCCTTAAGGTTCATCCTCCCGGGAGCAGGACAACGATCAGCTGGGTAAGTGCTGGGAGCTAAAAGACCAACAGAAAGAACCTCCCACATCAGTTTATTATTGTTCTGTCTGCGGGATCCGTGTCCTCAGCGGGCCGTGTGATTGCTTCATTTCAGCTCGTTCCTCTTCACTCGTTCCCTTCGACGCGCCGCGTGCAGCGGGCTGCCGCTCGGTGTCGTGCTTTTGGTTTTCATTAACTACAGAAAGACGTGTGTACATTGTCCCTAACAGGACATTTCAGCAGTGAAACACTGATGTTTTGCAATAGTTTGGATCCTGTTTGATAGTTTAGATACTCAACTCTCAGTAATGAGAAGGCCGAGGAATCTCTCCACCATTTTATCTCTACTCTAAAATGAGTGCACATTTTAACAAAATAAAACAAGTATGTAACTGAATGATATAACGCATACAAATTATGAGATGTTCCTGTATTGCCTTTTATAAAATCGTATTATATAGAAACACACGCTTTCATCTCCTCCTATGATGTGTGAATTTTGCCTTGTTTTAACATATTTCCCGAGCTCCTCTGCCGGTGGTAAAGAATCCAAAGGGGCTTCTCCTCCATAACTCACGTCCGTGATCTGCGGGGGGGGGCACTGCGCCGCCTCGGGCCCCGGGCACCGCTCCCGGTAAACGCAGCGGCGAGTCGCGGAGCACCAGACGCACCGGTACGCCGCATCGGCGTGTTGGCACAGACTGCAGTCCTCCCTTCCCACCGAGCAGTTATACAGCACCACTGGGGGGTAGAAGAGGAAGAGGAAGAGGTTAAAGCTAATTAGCATTTTCAGGAGGGTCTTGCTTTCACACACTTGATGTACGTGTGTGTGTGTGTGTGTGTGTGTGTGTGTGTGACAAACCAACCTGTCAGGGTGCTGTCAATCTTTCTCAGAGTCTCTCTTTCTTTGATATGGAAAGATATGTTCACCTCCTGCTGCTTGTCAAAGGAAAACTGCACACACACACACACACACACACACACACACACACACACACACACACACACACCCATTAGGTTTGGATTAACACACAGTCACTTAACATTCCTCCCTCTTGGGAGCTCAACACTAAATGACCATCTATCTTGCTCCGAAAACACACTCCTGCAGCCCCAAATCAATGTGTGTGTGTGTGGTGGGTGTGTGTGTGTGTGTGGGGGGGAGGGGGGGATGGCGGAAACACACACTATTTAACCACATATTGGAAATCTTTGGGGCTCAACGTGAGGCAGAGCTGCAGCTGGTGGGTGACAGCCCTGCGGTTGCTTAGCAGCCCTTTGGAGGATTCAGAGTCTCTAAGTGGACCAAATGGGCTCGTGAGGAGAGGAGAAGGATAAACGACGTGTGTCACTGGACTGATTTCTTTATGTTTATTTCATTATTGCCAGAAGCAGAAAGCTCTTTTGTACTTTGCTGGCTGGTGGAAAGAAAACATCTTTGTCTTTTTGCGTCTGTGGGTTCTAACTAACATTCAAACATCTCCCACTGACCTCATAGCCTGTGAATTTGAACTTTGACCCTTGCTCCCGCGTCACCGCTGCCTCCGTGTCCTTCATCAGCTCCGTCCCGATGGAGAAGCTATGTTCCTGGGGACGGAGAGGGACGTTATATTGCGCGATCAGGTGGTCCGCGGGGGGTTGGGGGGGTCACGCTGGGGTCTGGTCTCACCGTGTAGATGTCCAGGTTCCTTCCCTGGAAGCTGATGGGGACCTGAAACCCAACGGGGATCAGTGGCGGCTCCAGAGACTCGAACTGAGGACAGCTGCCGGCCTTCGGCACAGGAGGACACGCAGGAAGAGAATGAATGTTAGCCAACTAGCTAGTTAGCCATCTCCTCAATAGTCAAGTATGTTCTATAACCAGTGTAGCATTAAAGCCTGCAGGAAATAGATAGCTAGCTTGCTAACTAGCATACAGGTTAGCAATCATACCCTTTCCACCATGCTGTAATGCTACATTGGTTGTAGAAAGTTGGACTAAACACTGGTCACTCCGCTAGCTTGCTAGCTAGCCAGCTATACGACCCCAGAGGTGCACAGGACGCCACGTTACCTGCTGTGGTTTGATGATGTGTTTTCCACCTGCAGCATCGTCCTTGTCGCTGCAGCTGTAATCCTGGGCGTTCCACTGACAGCCCCATTCACTGGTCACACACGCTATGCACCTGGAAACACCACGTACTTTACTTACACACACGCGTGTGTGTGTGTGTGTGTGTGTGTGTGTGTGTGTGAGATTCAATTGTGTGTGTGTGTGTGTTGTTGGTCTTACGGTGAGTTTGGGTTCTTTCTGACCGTGGCAGCACAGTTGTAGAAGTGGTACTGTCCAGACGTCACCTTGATGTTGTTCACCAGGACCGTGACGGGGACGGACACATAGTCTAAAAACACACGGCGTTTAAAGTATTTATGTGTTGGAATTTATAGTCAAAGGAAAAGTGAAACATTGTCAGAATACCATATTCGCATTCATGCCAAAAGTTACATTAGAATATAGATCCCACTCCCTTGTTCTTTAGTTAGATATGAAGCTAGTTTGGTTAGCTTAGCATAAGCACTGGAAACAGAACATCCAAATAGACCAAAGCCTCTGAGGCTCACTAATTAACATGAGACATCACAGGTTTTGTTATTTTTTGACAGAACGAACCAGACATGTAATTTCCCCATTTCCAGTTTTCCTGCTAAGCTATGCTAAGCTAAGCTGAGCTAAGGATTGTAGCTTCACATTTAGCGTACAGAAATCCTCTCATCTATCGGAACTCTATGAAATTACATAAAATATTGTTAAATAATGTTGAATGCAACAGATTAAACCGGATTTACAGCAGTGCAGATCTGCACAGAATGAACGGAACTCTAAAATGTAATTAAACGTAATGTCAACAAGAGTTTTTGGTCTTTATCTGAAAGAGTTGGAGCTGTCAAATTAGATCTTTCAGTCTTTTCCACAGGAAATATGTATACATATTAAAATATTAACACAGACTTCTTCCTACCCTGCTGGTCTGGCGTTGGGGGGATCTCCACGGGGTCCGGCAGCGAGCAGGTGACCCGTACCTGGCTGTCGGCGATGACCATCACGGCCTCGCTGATGAAGGAACCAAACTCACACTGCAGCTGGTCCAAGCTATTCAGGGCCGGCAGGGCAGGTATGTTTATATCCACCTGGACGAGAGCAGCGGGTGGAGTTACCAATCTAATAAATGTCTCTATAAGTAGGTCACATATAAACACGTAATAACTCTTTACATAACTGAGCAACAAATAAATGTGTGTGAGTGGGGGAGAAGGAACCATAAATTGTGTTTGTGTGTGTGTGCGCATGTAACTATGAGCAACTGTGTGTGTGTGTGTGAGCGTCATAATTACTATTCAACCGGGCTGTTCACACATCATTGTCCTCATTAGTCCTCACTGACCTCAAACCGGTTTCATTTGGTCGCTGATGTTTGGATTTTAAACTTTTTGATCTCGGGTGGCGGAGAGAAGCCACGAAATAAATTCCTCTTTTTAAGAAACCTACAGCTGCAGGAAGCCGACGTCTTTGAAGGCTTTAAAAATCAGATTATCCGATCACAAACAAGGAGCCTCTACGTGGACAGAAAGTCGCACAAAAACATTAATGTTTTTATTAGAGGACCACAGTTCTTCAGACGTCACACCTCCCTGAACATCCTTTACGTCTTTATTATTGACCAGTGGAACTTTAAAGGCAGAATATTGTTATTAACTATCAAGCTCATATAAGAGACATATTTAATTCCACAAGTAGAAATACAAATTAACACGGCTTCAACTGAGCGAAGCAAATTTAAATGCCGTGCAAATCAAACAATCAGCATTCAGATGTTTCACAGATGTTTTAGATCATATGACCACGGCTGAGATCAATTATATGGACCCCTGATGAGAGATTACATGTGTCCAAAGCTGATTCAATTATGATCAACCAGTGGTGACAATGTTCATTCCGACAAAAACTGCTCATCTGGGCAGAAGCAGCACTTTCATTTTGTCTTTTCAAAATAAAATGTAGACGTTAACATGTTGGTTCGCATCCCCAGCATCACTCTCTCGTACCTGCCGCGTCTCCTTGCAGCTCAGGTTCGGCGGTTGGAAGGATTCGATCTGAACACACTGCTGATTGGGCGACCACAGCCAGATCTTCTCCTCCCCCCCCCTGCGGCACTCCGTCTTCTTGGTGCACCTGGTGGAGGGGGGGGGGGGCGGGGGATGTCAGTCAATCAAAGGTGAAATATTTACAAGCTTTGACCCGACAACAGAAATCCTTTCACACGTGAATTTCATTGAACAGCTGAAAAAGATGATTGAATTGAATTGTTCCAATTTGTCTGCATGTTGGTTTGTTTGCATGTCAACTATGCAGTTTTATGAAAATGGGTGGATGGAGACACACACAACACACACACACAGGGACTCACTTTCCCTCGAGGACACACCAGCCACAGTACGGATCCTTCATGGAGACGCAGGACTCGCAGTCCGTCTTCAGGTGGCAGGCCTGGACGGGAACCTTGGTGATCTGCAAATACGTGACTCAAGCTTTTATTGTGAAGGAGAACCGAATAACAAAAAGAAGAATGCTTATACAACACCAATTTAAAACCTCCGCTCTATTTTAGTTTACGTTTTGTTTTTTTTAAACATGTTGAATTATTTACCAGCAGCTATCAGTGAAAACATCACTTTGGAAATGAAGAACGTTCCAGGAAAGTTCTGCAGCCTCTTTTTCTACGACTTCAAGGAGGATTTTTCGACTTCTTTTCTCGAGGTGGAGTCAGAAATAATGACATCTGCAGGAAGTCAATATATCTTTCTTTGCGTTGAGATTTGACTCGACTGACAGCACACGGGAGACTTGTGCTTTAAATATCATTTTTCTCTTGAAGAAAGAAATGCGTGACGGAAACATTTGGGAGCTTTTCGGTTTGTTCTTTCCGTTCCGATGAGTAGAACCCCGAGATACGAGATGCATTTCAATGTTAAAGACCTACGAGCTGTACGGAGTCCTACGCCGTGTTACGCCTGTCCATCGTCCCTCCATGTGTCCTGCAGAGGGAAGGTCGTGGACGGACGTCCTTTCATTTAAAAGCCCGACAGGAAGAAGGACTCATTTGAATGAGCCGATGGCGCCGGGCCGAGTGTCCTCACTTCACTTGACGAAAGAGAGCCGGCCTCTTCAAGCGCGTTTCTAATTAATTCATTTCAAAATCAATAACATCAATTTCACTTTTGGTGTGGCGGCGGGAGAAGGATGGCGAGTGAATAAATCAATAGCCGTCTTGTGCGTGCTAATGTAGACGGATGCATTGGTGCGACCACAACGAACGAATAAATGATCCAATGAGACGGCAGAGAGAATAAATTAAAGTCTCATCAAGCCCCGCCCCCCCGATGACGCCCCGTGACCTTGGCCGAGGTGAGAGAAGTGGATTTGGTAGAACGAGGAGTCTGACCTTCTTCTCCGTGGTGACGTACAGGTGCTGCAGGCGGGGATCGAACAGCAGGTTCTTGTTGACCTTTTCTCCCGTGACGTCGCCCTGCGCCTGCCCGTACACCTCCGCGTGGCCCGACAGGTGCACCTTCAAGACCTGCACAGAGCACGAGGTAACCAGGCGGCTTTCACCAGAACTGCCGACAGACCAGAAGAAGAGGAGGAAAAACCAGCGTCCGCCTCTACCTCTCCGTTGGCGGTGCCCAGGAACGCCACCGCGTGCCCGTTCTCCACCGCCACGGCCACGGCGGTCATGTGGCCCTCGCGGGCCAACAGGGGCTCGGCGGTGAGGGCGAACTCGGCCTTGCTGGCCAGCGGCGAGGGCAGGTACTCGGCTCCACACCTGTTGTTGATGGCCATGTTGTTCTGGCGGAGGAGAAATCAGCGTGTTCATTCATGTCGGACGTTAATCGCACGTTGAATTGTTTCAGCGCGCCGCCGCTCACGGGGTTCTTGTTCTTGCACAGCTCCTCGGACTTGGAGGAGTACGGCGAGTAGACGGCGGACTTCTCGTTGATGTTGCCCTCGTCGCTGTAACAGGCTTTTATGATCCTCACCAGCCTCTCGTTGATGGAGACGAGAGGGTACATGCCTGCCAACAGGAGGAAAGCAACGTTTGTACCCGTTTCATGCAGCTTTTTATCAGAACAACCACTGATTTTGACACGTGGTAACTACGTATATCCTTTAAATACTAGAGGCATGTATTATAATGAATTATGCTAAATTAAAAGACAAACTGATGCTGATCACACGTGCATGAAACTGCTAAACTAATGAAGAAAACAGAAAACAATCTGACAGTGAAGATCATGTGACCGACAGGACGACACCTACACAGGGCTGACGGGACGGGTCTTCATCAGAAGTGAAGGTGACGAACAGCACCTTGTCGGAGGCCGACACCGATCCGTACCGGCCCGACTCGGTCATGTTCCGAGCCAGAACCTCGCCCGGCGTCGCCACGTAGGCGGCCTGCGCAGGTGAAGGCGTGAATGTTAGGTTATCCACTCGAAACGCACGCAGTGTGGAGACCTGCACACCTCGGCTTCAGCAGCTTTTCAAATCCAATTTACAACGCTTATCAGCGGTCAGAGCTGAGGGCTTCTCAAGCCGAGTGAAGACAAACTCATTCAAACGTAAAATGCCCAAACAGTGCCCCCCCTCCCCCCCCCCTTTGACAGCCTGCAGCAGGAGCCCCCCCCCGCCCATCACCTGAGCTTTGTTGTACTTGTTGGTGCTGCTGCAGTTGAGCTGCAGCTCCGTGTACGAGTAGTAACCCTGGTCGTCCTCGCACATCCTGGACACGAAGGTGAAGTTCTTGGTGTCCTGGACGCCGAGCGTCCGCGAGAACAGGAAGTACACGAAGCCGCCGTCCTTGAAGGCGAAGCGGAAGTCGTGGAGGTAGCGCAGGACGAAGGGGTTGGCCTGCACCGCCGAGGCCTCGATGATGCTGTCGAACACCACCCAGTCGCCGTAGTCCTGGAGGATGCGGGTGGAGATGAGCTTGGTGCTGTCGTGGCTGCCGTAGCCTTTGCCGACCTGCGTTGGGGGGTTGGGAGGAGGACGGGGGGGCATTAGCTCACGACATATATTTTACCAATTCAGACACAAGAGCTTCGAGAAGCTCAAACTCAAGGCGCCAATAGCACAGTTATAGATCTGAGACTCGATGGAGACCTTCGACTAGTCCCTGAAGAAGGTTTCAACCATCAATCATCAGGTCTCAACTTCTCAGAAGCTACTTGGTTGTTGTTGGGTGAACCTTCTGGAGGACCATGATGTCCTCCTCGCTCCCGCCTCAGCCCCCCGCAAACAGAGACAATTACACATCGACTGATTAGATTAGAAACGCCGCGGACGCTGACGCCATGAAGACTCCGCCCATACGTGAGAAGAAACAACAGCTGCTGAACACGTCCCGATAACAGACGACGCCGCTCACCAGGAAGACGGTGAAGTTCTTGGTCTCCTTGGTGAAGTAGGACGTCACCCCCACCACGGAGACGCCCTCCTCGGCGGTCGCCACGTACGACTTCTCCCCTTTGCTGTCGCTGAAGTACAGCAGCTGCTCGGCGGCGCTCAGGTTCCTCAGCGAGCAGATGCCCCGGAAGACGCTGCCGCAGACCACCAGCACGTCCGTGGCCTCCTGCACCAGCAGCAGCTTGTTGTGGTTGTCGGTGTCCACGGCCTCCTCGCAGGCGTCCGTGACGGGCGGCGTGCACTGCTTGTTGTCCCTCTTGGGGCCCGTCTCCGTGCGGGACTCCACCTGCAGGTCGGCGCTCAGCTGGTAGAGGCGGTTGACGGCGCCCACGTACAGGCGGCCCGAGCGGGGGTCCGTCACCACGTTGTTGATCAGCGTGTCGGAGGGGAACTCTTTGTTCTTAGCGTGGCAGGGGGCCGCGCAAGCGGTTGCCAGGGCGACGAGGGCCAGCTGCCACGCCCACTCCATCGTGTCTGGAGGCGGGAAAACAAGATGAGAGACATTTTCAAGCGTGTGGGGAGGAAGAAACGGGTTAAAAAGTGCGGAGAGACAAAGGCAGGAAGTGTGTGTGTGTGTGTGATTGAACAGAGACTGAAATTAGTTGTGTGACATTGTGAGTTTCTCCTTCCATTAGTCAGGGTGCGTTTGATTACAGCCGAGGCGTCACTGCACAGCCGTTAACGGGGTATTTTTGGTCGATTCTCATAAACTTGATGAAGTATTTTAAATATTACTGAGTGAATAGTAAAAATGTAATCGCGGCGGCCTTCTGCCGGGTAAATGAAAGCGCTCAGAGTCGCATCGTGGTCGTTTATTTCACGAGCATATTTTACCAGGCCTATTAGATCGCTCTGATTGGTGGACGACCCCCCCCCCACTCCCCCCAAATGGAAGAGTCTTCAGCTCGCTTCATTGCAGAAAGGATCTACTGGCGTGAAGACTAATCTCTGCACCACCTGCCGGCCCCGATTGCCGAGCCTCAGATATCAGGAGTCGGGTGGTCCCCTTTTATTTAACGAGCGTCACTGACTGAGCAGATTATAATTTACAACGACTGCGTCTCTCAGTGCTCTGCAGACAAAGTTACACCAGCAGCGTAGTCCGACTTAACAGGAAAATTAATTCATGATCCGGTCTCTGTGGCCCCCCTTGGGTTCTAGTGTCATCTTCCTCCTCCTCCTCCTCCTCCTCCTTCACTTGGAGACTCTCGGAGGTGGAAATCTGTGGCATCTCACTTCTTCTCTCGGCTTTCGCTTCTCTTTGTTTTACTTGTTTGCCTTCATCCTCCTTAAAGTCAGACTCTGTATCAGCCCACGAATAAGATGTGTGTGTGTGTGTGTGTGTGTGTGTGTTCTTCTATTCTCGTTTGGCTTCAAGATTTTTCACTTGGAAGATGCCATTTCCGCTCTTTTTTAGCTCCATCTTTGGTCTCCACCACCATCAACATCAGGAGGGGGTTGGTTGAGTTGGTGGTTCAGCATGTTTTGGTTTAACAGAATGTTGTTCAGTCTGCTTCAATGTGGCGTTACAACTCAGTGTGTGTGAGATTACATTGGCAGAACACACACACACACACACACACACACACACACACACACACACAGAGGGCACAGGAATCTGTGGCTGATGAGAATCCGAGTGCGTGCTTTGTGGAGAACTCCCTGACCCGCTGATTAAACCCTTGGAGGAAAAATGAATGCTAGAATGTCTGCTCACGCGGAGGGAATAAACGGATCATGAGAAGTCCAGACTTTGACTTTTGCAGTTTAACTACCCCTACCCGCACTGCGCACGCTCTACAACAGCATCCTCTAACA